AAGAGAGCTAGTTTTTAAAACAGACATGGCTACGGCTTGATGCTAACATGTTTGTTATCTGTCAGTATTCTGAGATCAAAGTCAGAATTCCGACTTTTTTCCCATATTAAACAGAAATAATATTTAAAAATCAGTTAATGTTTCTTTTAGTTTTTTAGTGGCCTTAATCCTCTTCTGTACTGAACTCCCTAATGTGACTCAACACTATTTCAAAATACTTAGCTAATTATTTTCACATATTTGCATATTGTTTTTCAGATACAGGATTAAACGAAAGCTAGTTCTCATTTGGACCCGTATTCATCTAAAGGCTTTCAGTCGGTCTGAAGGAAATAAAGGTTTTCTGTATTTTTGTCACTGTAAATGTTTTCATGGTAGAATAAATATAGTAAATCATTTATTTAAGCTCTTTCAACAGAAATGTGGGGGCTTGGTAATGTAATTAAAAACAGATTTTGTTTAATTACAGCTGTAAACTTAAATATTCAAGAATTTGATGCGGCGAACATAAAATAATAATATAAAGAAGACTGAAAACTATAAATTTGTTGTCCTGAAACTAAGACCTCTCTGAAAATTTGCTCAAATGAAAATGAAAAATAAAAAAGGATTTCTAATAAATTAAGTTTCTAGGGCCTCTAAACATTTTCCATCTATGAAGCTAAATAAGGGCCATAAAATGCATTCAAAAACCTTTTTTTCCAAGCTGAAAAAACTAAAAATATCTTTTTAGCTTGCAGTTTAAAAAAATAAAATAATTTTTTTTTTATTGAAAAGAGCTAAAACTGAAAGGAAAACTTAAAACAGAAAAAAAGATTTTAAAACTCAATAGAAATGTTTAAAACTACTTTCCAGGTTCAAGTTTTTGTTTTTCTCTGACGGCCCTGCAGCGTCAGGGTGGAGCTTAGATGACAGGAGCTATATTTTTTTTAAATAAAATATTACATGCAAGCAATTCAGGACCGTGGGAACCAGAAAAATCTTTAAAACATCACAAATACTTTACTAAACCTTTCACAGAAATTACAAGTGCATGCATAGTTTTATATATTTTCTTTGCAGTTTCAAGTCTTGCAGGTTTAAATATCTTTCTTCAGTTTCCATAGAAAGATAGATAGATAATTATTAAACTATTCCAAATTTTGCCACGTTGCAACCATGGTTTTTAAAGAAAACAGAGAAAAAACCAACATACACCTAACCATGTCTGCATTCTTTTCCAACTGTTTTATGAGCTAATTGGTCTTCATGCAAAAATACCAAAACGATCAACCATAGATAATATAAAGAGAGGTCTGGAGGCATTTGAAATACAATACTGCATAGGTCTTACGGATAAGTTATTAATAAAAGGAGTTTGGGAATGAAATATGCAATGAAAACAAAAATAAAGGGATAATTAATAGGAAGCTGAAGAGGTCTGGGTTATTCAGAACCAAATGGAAACATTTCTGAAAGGAAAAAACTGCTTTAATCTGCAGACATATGATGTTTAACCCTGTTTATAAAATGAATGGATACCATGGTTTATTTTCATTCTGTCATTGCATTCCTCTCACTTTAGGTACTTTAGAGACAGCCCAGTAAGCCTCTGATAAAACTGCGTTTTATCTGTCTGTATAGACCATAGAGTGACACCTTACTGCCTGAAACATATGGGAGCCAACACTGAGGCCAGAACTCTTATTCAGGTAACAGGTATCGGTTTGGCAGCAGCCTTCAGACTGACTGATTAAGCAGCTGATAGGGTCACACTATTGCTGCTCTAAAAAAAGAGCAGAGCAGCTAAAAACTGTAATGTCCTGCTTAATAAAGACGTCATACTCTGAATAATTCCATGTTATGTCTCTACATAAATAAACAAGTGCTAAACCTAAACATATGGAAGCGAATCGTTACCATATTTCAAATGAAAAAGCATTTCTGGAAATACTTTTTCAGTTTCAAATTTTACATTTCAAATTGAATTTTGATGTGTATTTGCTGGGGTACATAAGTAAAAAGATGAGCAGTCTTGAAGAAAAAAAACTAAAATGCAAATAGGATGATTGATTACTAATTTTATTTATAAGTCTAGTAATGCATCCACATTCTTACAATTAAAAAGCATTTCTGGAAATACTTCTTCATTTGAAATATGGTAACGATTCGCTTCCATACAAACAGGGCGGAGAAGCCACAGGATGACAGTAGCTAAATGCCCATTAAACAGGAAGGTTTCATCCTGCAGGGGGCGATGCTGAGCTACTGCATCCAGTAGGTTCGGACCAAAACTGCAAGGTGCAAACAAAACATAAAGGGGGAAAAGTCAGAACACACTGATCAGGAATGACTTACATTAACTGATCCATCAACTGGCCCCCATTTCTAGCATGGCGGTGCAGTGGCAGGGAGGAAATAAAGAGCGTTTAACGTGCAGCCGCCACACATCATGCAGTGAGGACTTTATGTGATAAAGAAGACAAAAACAAACTGACCTGACCAGCGGTGTCACACAGCTGCAGTCTGACTGGTTTCCCATCAACCACAACCATCACTGGAAAGAAAAAAAAATCCCAAACAGTCGTTTAGTTTCAGTGGTAAGAACGTGGAACAAGTTGTGCCAAATGCGTAAAAGCCGCGCGTAACGGCGGAGCTCACCGGTGAAGTTATCAAACGCGGTGGGGATGTATTCCGTGGGGTATCCGTTGGTGGTGTAGCTCACGATGAGGCTGCTCTTCCCCACGGCTCCGTCTCCGACCAGAACGCAGTTGACCCTTCGCTCCGGAGCGGAACCGGACCAGCGGCGCATTGCGCTCATGGGGAACTCCCGGTTCTTGAAGCGCCGCGGCGGAACCGTCGGACGGTCTCCTCCGTCAAACGGCTCTGAAACCCGCCCGCCTGGCTTCTGGTTCGCGACATCGCGGGGTAACATGCCTCAGTTTACGGATCAGGATCTGGTCTTAAACGTTAGACGTGGCGCAGAACCGATGGCTCCATTTTCCCCTGAGGGTTCTGTTGATGTTTCGGTTGTCAACAGCAGGTCGGTAAGCTGGTTTACTGTGAAGTGTGTCAGAAGTGTGGAGCAGACTGTGTGGGAAGTTTATGTGCGCAGCGGGAGCAGCTGATTGGCATTCTCTGCATCTGTCATGGTGGTGCGTCCTAAGAGGCTTAACATGCACGACAGTTTCCAAAGTCCAAGCCTTTAAGTGAAACCAGCCCGCTTTCTGGAATCCTCTCACCCAAAGAGACACATTCACACCCCCAACCTCTTTATCACATATTATTCATTTGAACCTTATTTAAACTTATTTTAAACCCTCATAGTGACTTTGTTTGTGTCTCATTTGCCATAAATGCTAAACTTTTTAATATTTCTAGACCTAAAAGGAAAAAATAAACTCCTCACATTATGAGTTAGAGGAAAGCAAATCAATATAAATACGTTTAAGAATTTATGGCAACATTAGATCAAGTTAAATCCCTTATAATCAGTGCCTCCTAGATAAAAAAGACAAAACAAAACTTGCTGATAAGTAAGCGTTTTGCTGCCCCCTAACGGTTGACTTCCTAGAATGGTTATCATGTCAACATTTTTTATTTTTATTTTAAGTGTTTAAAGGGGATTAATATACGGAAGAGGATTAGGAAAAAAATGTTAACTGATTTTAAAATTTTATTTCAGTTTAACATAGGAAAAAAGTCAGAATTCTGACTTTGTTCTCAGAAATCTGACTTTTTTTCTCAGAATTCTAACAGTTAACAAACATGTTAGCATCAAGCCATAGCCATGTCTGTTTTAGAGACTAGCTCTCTTGTTTTAATGACCTTCTGCTCCTCCATTAATGAGGGGACCCCGCGGGCACGTAAAAAGTTGCCTAATTCCGTCATTTTCCATCAATGTGTCACTGGCCCTCTCAAACAACTCACATCTTTGTCAGTGAAGCTGAGTGCTCCCACATCTCTGCCTTCATGGTGCCCATCTACATTAAGATCCAAAATTTTGAGATTAAAGTCCGAATTCTGAGGAAAAAGTCAGAATTTTGACTTTTTTCCCATATTGAACTGAAATAAAATTTAAAAATCAGTTAACTTTTTTTTTTTTCAGTGGCCCTAATCCTCTTCCGTATTATTACGGAGCTAAATTGTGGCAATAAAATTTGTTTTAAAAAAGCCTTTTTTTTGTTTTGTTCTTTTGGAATTCAGAAAAATTATTTTAAACTGTAACAGTATTTGGAAACAGAAGAAAAGATTGTCTTCTGGAAAATATTTTAATGATTAAAAAAATAATTAAAACTGAAAAAAAGATTGAAATGATAACTGATATATGAGAGATTAGATCATTTAGAGAAGATCACTAGAAGACACAAAATATTCCAAGCCGTTGCCTTCAGGGAGCACAGGAACTAGACGTGTGTTAATATTAGTGTTGCACCGATACTGATATCAGTATCGGACGGGGCCCTTATTCAGCTCTAAAATGGTGGTATCAGTATCGGCGAGGACCAACAAGTAAGGCACAATACCATTTTGAGAGCCAAAGGTTTATTCAACTATTGTCACAATTCCAGGTAGGCAATAAAAAGTCCTACTGGATTGACTTTGTTTTAGTCTTTTTCCGGGTATCGGTATCAGGACCAAAAAGTGGCATCGACACAACACTAGTAAATTCATCATTGATACTCTTGTGTTTATAAATTTGTTTTTGAAAAAAACAAACATGAAAGGAAGAGTTTCACTTTTTCTCAGTGTAAAACCTTTTTTTTATTGTTTTTAAAAACGTTTTTTTTTTCAATTGAAATGTTTACTTTTATTTTTTTAACTATCAATGTAAACTCATCCGTGTCGATGCATCAGCTGGTTTTTCTTCGATAGAAAACTTTTTTACCAATGGGACTAAATTATCTGGTTGGATTGTCTCTGTAAAGTGCCTGAGATGACGTGTGTTGTAAATTGGCGCTATAGAATAAACTCAATTAAATTGAAATTAAAAATACTTTTCAGTTTGTTTTTCCCATTTT